ACCGTTGTCCTCGGCGGCCTCGTAGTCGAACAGTGCCGTGTCTTGTGCGGCCTGCTGCCTGCGGCTGCGGCTCCGGCTCGGCTTGGGCGGGCGCGGGGGGCGGGAGTGAGCGCGCGGCAGGAGCGGGAGCCGCAGCCGACGCCTGTTCGGGCTCGTCCTCGACGAGCTCGACGTAGTTGCTAGGGAAGAGGCCGCTCTCGCCCTTCGAGTTGGTGCCCATCCACCAGTCCTCGTCGACCATTTCAATGTTGGTGACGTATTGGCCCTCGCGGAGCTCAATCTCGTTGTCCCTCGGCCTTCTCGTAGTCGTACTGAATCAGAGCACGCTGACCTCCGGCTTGCGCTCCGGCAGGGGGCTGTGCGGCCGGAATGTTGGCCTCTCTGAGCTCCTGCTGCGCTACAGCGGCAGCGGCGCCGCGGCCGACGTCGGGCGCCTCCTCGGGCAGGTCCTGTTCCCTGGGGAGTTCCCTCTCGATCTCCTGCGTCGGGATGGGTCGGGGCGCATGGGCTTCCGCAGGCTCGATCTCGGGCTCTGGGCCACGGGCGACAGGAACTGCGACGCGGACAGGCGAGTGCTCGGGCTCATCATACGACTGCTGGGGTTCGGCTGGGCGCTCAGCTGGACGAGGTGGCGCGGGGGGCTCGTCATCCTCCTCTTCGTCGGTAGGAGGGGGTGGGCGAGAAGGCAGACCAGGCAGGGCGAACCCGCCCGTCGGCCGTGAGTCGCTGGGGGGAGGGGGAGGCGGCGATGCTTCGCGAGGCTCCTCTTCCTCAGGCTCATCGCGAGAGAAGGAGGGGACTGGAGGAGGCGGCGCACCGAAGCCGATAGGAGCCGTGTCCTTGAAACGGTCCTTCAACGCACCGACGCCACCAGCAGGGGACTCGGGCTGCTCGACGCTGCGATCCTTTGACTGCTCTGGCTCGCCCGTGTTCTCTTGGCTAATCTTGCCAGCGATACCCCTGCCGTACTCGCCAGTCTGGACGGCACCCCAGCTCTTGCCGGAATATCCGCTCTTCCACTCTCCGCTCTTTTGAACACCGAGAGGGGCTGCGGCTGCGCCGTTGTTCTGGGCCGCAATGGGGGCCGCAGCAGGAGCACCTCCTCCTTCCCTAGCCTTCTTCTCAGCCCACAGCTGGGCCGGTGTCTTGCCGCCCTGGTCCGCAAAGGTACGGCTCGCAGCACCAACAGGGGCTGCCGTGGGAGTCGCAGCCGTGGGACCAAGCAAACCCAGACCGCCGGGTGTCGGGGCCTTGGTGCCACCAAATGAAGCCGCGCCGCCGAACTTGTTGGCAACCTTGGGCTTGGGTAGCGACGTCAGCCTTTCAGGCTGAGAAGATTGACTGAAGGCGGCGCTGCGCTCAGCCAGCGACTTGGGCTGGTTGTCTTGCTCGTCATCGGCGGCGGCAGGTCGTGCGGCGGGCTCGGCCTCGGAAGGCTTCTGCTGAGCCTTGGCGCGGATGGCTGCAATGTCGACCTTGCCGATGGGCTCATATGCGCCCTTGACAGTCGTGGGCCGGTCGTCAACTTTATTTTTGGCTGCGGCGCGAATGGCAGCAATATCGACCTTGCCGATGGGTTGGTATCCGCCCCTGACGACGTCCCCATCGTCTTCTTGCTTGGAGGAGGCCTTGAAACGTGAGGGTTCCTGGCGCTGGTTGGTGAGCTCGGCCATGTTCACCTTGGTAGGCTTGTAAGCCGAGTCGACCTTCTCGAGCTGAGAGCGGGACACCTGGGGGGCGTCCTCGCCCCAGCCATCCTCGTCGACATTGCCGCCTCGTCTGTTCCGGGCTGCGACTAGGGGGTTGGAAGCGGAAGAGGCTGTGGGGTTGAAGACGGGCTTGGATGCGACAGGTGGAGGTGCGGGGGAAGCAGTAGACGAGGCGCCTGCCGAGTACTTGGCACCGGAGGCATCAGCAATCTTCTTGACAATCGACTCAGGCTCGAGGTCGCTGTCTGAGCGGGCGGTTATCTGGACGTGGTAGCCGTGGAGGATCTTGGACACGGCAGCAGTGTGGGTGGTGAAGTAGCCCTTTGTCCTCTCGGGCACACCACCACCGCACCAGGCGATGAGGGCATACTTGGGAAGGCCGCTGTTGGGATCCTTGACCTTGACGAATGCGAATTGGATACGACCCTCGCTGAAGTCCTCAATAAGCTCGGCAAGCTCGCCGTCTAGGAAGGACGTGGTTAGCGGCTGCGTGCCATTCTATGTAGCCTTGTGTAGGGTTGGCGGGGAGCTACATACCTCCAGTGCTCTGGACCTTGAGGATACTCTCCTTCGAGCCAGAATCTTGGAAGGCGTTGGCAAGAGGGGCCTGAACGGAGAACAACGCCCATTGAGCATATGTCGGAGAGCTCGAGCTTGGCGCAGGGCCGTTGATGACGCCCTGGTAGCTGCTCTTGATCGACTGCCCGTTGGAGGACAGATTGAGTGACGCCATAGCGATTGATGGCTACGCCGTCGTTGTGTCGTCGGTCGCAGGTCGAACGGGGTAGGGGAGAGGGAGGAGTTGGCAATGTTCGTCGAAAACAGCTATCGGGGGTTGCTGTTTCGCGAAAGGAAGCTGACGTGTGTATGGACAAGGTGAGGGTATGGTGAGGTAAGGTTAGGTTGCAAACAGCTGCGACCAACAACTTGGAATAGTGGACGGAGCGACCGGAGAGCCTGTGCCCCAGGATTGGGGACAGGCAGCTAGGTAGGCAACTGGGGGGGGGGTGGCGCTCCGCAGGTGGGAAAGGGTGACAAGGGCGACGAGGCACCGGTCCGCCGGGTTACGCAGTCCTGCGGTGCCAAGGCTCCGCAGAGCGGGGCATGACGAGCCATCTCAGCGAGCTTCACCATGCGTTGAGGGGCGGACAGCTCGGTGAGCGGCAGCTCCAGACATGTACAAAAATGCAAGGACCCCGGTTGCCGCATGTGGATTGCACCATATGACGCAACCGACAGGCACTGGGAGACATGGTCTGACTTTGATGTATCAAACCGGTAATTGAGACGCAAATATCCGATTCACCAGGCCTTATCCGAAACTCTCTCAGCTAGCCTGCCCCGCGATCGGTCCACGGGGGCGGGCAACAATTACCATGACACAGGCCGGCTACCAACAACTTCGCGCACTTTACTAATCTTATTCAAATCGCAAACCCGCCCCGGCTCGTCCTGTGACTGTGAGGCTCGCCATTTCTTATCAGATCGGCCTTCTCGACCACTCCAACTTTCGTGCGCCGTCGACAATTTGTCCTCTGCTGAACATATCAAGGGTGGAACAAACAAAAACCAGAGAGCTTATCGCGGGGCTGACAAACTTCACGTCCATCGCAGCCACCCACCGGAACCCCGCGTCGACCGCACACGCACGCCATCATGTCGTCCATCACCGAGATCACGAGCGTGCCCGACTGGGAGAAGCACCTCGCCTCCCTCGCACCGACCACCCTCCTCATCATTTCCTTCCACGCGCCCTGGGCCGCGCCCTGCGCCCAGATGGCCACCGTTCTGTCGACCCTCGCTGCAGACTACCCTGTCACGAGCCCACCACAGACCTCCTGGGTCTCCATAAATGCAGAGGAGCTCAGCGACCTTAGCGAAACTTACGACGTCACCGCCGTGCCCTTCCTCGTCCTCATCCGCAACGGTCAGGTCGTTGAGACGGTCAGCGGCAGCAGCGCCGTTAAGGTGCGCACGGCCATCGAGACACACGCGAAGAACACGGGTGCCGCCGCCGGCGCCCCGGCCACAGTCAACGGCAATGAGGGCGTCGCCGCCGATGGTGACGCCGCCGCCAAGCCCGACGAGCCCGTCGACCCGGAGAAGGCCAAGGAGGAGCTGTTCAAGCGACTGGCGGACCTCGTCAAGGCGGCGCCCGTCATGCTCTTCATGAAGGGTACCCCCAATTCGCCGCAGTGTGGCTTCTCGAGGCAGCTTGTGGCCATTTTGCGGCCCCAATCGGCCAATCGAATCATCTACAGACAGACCTGGACTGGAGGCTCCGTCACCGCGCATGCATGGAGATGGACGTCTCGACCGTGACGGCCCGCGCCTCCTCGGGCACTGTTGAGCCTGCCGGCGGCCAGCACGCTGGCAGCGTCCTCGCCGTCGTCGTCC